AAGTTTTTGAGTGTGTATAGTGTGTGAGTGTGTGGGTGCGATCTATGTGTGTGCGGGAGTATCTATGCAAGTTTGAGTATCTATGTTACGTTTGCTATCATTGCAAAGTGTTTCTACTATGTGTGTTTATCGGCTGCGCTGAGTGGCATGCAATTAATTTTCCACACTCCACAAATGATTTCTTTTTTAAAATGCAATCAGTTGAACTTTTTTCCGGTATCTTTTTTACTTTATACATTGTTAGTGTTTGTTCTTCAGTGTCAAAACCATATAAGCAATTTTTTTTTCAAGTTTTTTATTCTTCGATTTTTATATTTTTATCTTGTCAAGGTTACTCCACAATATATTTTATTGCCTCTATTCGATTAAAAGTGGAATGCATTTAAATTCTATGCTGTGATTGCATGAATGCATTTGCAGGTTAGAGCTGCTTTGGATTTGACTAATGTCAAGAGGAGGTTATATAAATTAATAAAGCAGATCAATTGAAAAAAAAAATTCATGATTTAATGATGGCATGTAATTACTAAAAGTGATTCTTTATAATATATATACATATACATATGTATGTATGATGATATATTTTGTGAGCATCATTTTGTTTTTGCTGTAAAAACTCGCCTTTTACCGGCATTCTAGTTGAGATTATTAAAAAAAAAAGTTAGAACAAACTTGACTTATAAACTTAGTGTTAAATATTCTACAAACACAAAGTTAGCTTTTAAAGAATGGAGTAAAAATATTACGGAAATGTTTTATACGACTAGATTACAGGAAACGTAAAGATATTCCACTTCCGTAATTTTAGGGCTTAAAATAAAATAATTATTTATTTTGATATATTGCAGTAGCAGACCTACTTCATCGTATTTTATTATTTCATCACATATCACATAAAGGTTTTCCATGTATATTTTTTGTTTTTTCTCAGTAGAGAAAAGTAATTCGATAACGATTAACAAATTAAAAATTATTTACTCTTGATATAGCTGAGAAGACCTTCTATGGGACGGGACAATGTATTGCTGCGGAAGTTGATTCTCAATATTTTCACCTTAATAGATATGTTCTTATTTTACGAAAACAAAAAATCCTTATAATAATCCGTCCTCCTTGAACCGATATTTTTGTGAAGACCTTCTATGGGACGGGACAATGTATTGCTGCGGAAGTTGATTCTCAATATTTTCACCTTAATAGACATATTCTTATTTTACGAAAACAGGAAATCCTTTCCATAATAATCCGTCCTCCTTGAACCGATATTTTTGTGAAGACCTTCTATAGAACGCAAAAAAGTATTGCTGCGGAAGTTGACTCTCAATATTTTCACTTTAATATGTTCTTATTTTACGAAAACAAAAAATCCTTTTCATAATACTCCGTCCTCTTTGAACCGATATTTTTGTGAAGACCTTCTATAGAACACAAAAAAGTATTGCTGCGGAAGTTGATTCTCAACATTTCCACCTTAATAGACATGTTCTTATTTTACGAAAACAAAAAATCCTTTCCATAATACTCCGTCCTCTTTGAACCGATGTTTTTGTGAAGACCTTCTATAGAACACAAAAAAGTATTGCTGCGGAAGTTGATTCTCAATATTTTCACCTTACTAGCCATGTTCTTATTTTACGAAAACAAAAAATCCTTTCCATAATACTCCGTCCTCCTTGAACCGATATTTTTGTGAAGACCTTCTATAGAACACAAAAAAGTATTGCTGCGGAAGTTGATTCTCATGTTCTTATTTTACGAAAACAAAAAATCCTTTCCATAATACTCCGTCCTCTTTGAACCGATATTTTTGTGAAGACCTTCTATAGAACACAAAAAAGTATTGCTGCGGAAGTGAATATTTTTATATTTTCGTAATTTTTTTTTCAAGTTTAAATATAAAATTATTAGAAAAATAAAATTCGCTGTCTCCTTGATATACATCGGGTTTTTATATTTTACTCGGATATATCTGTTAAATACGTATGCTTTATAGTATAGTACATGAGAAATTTTCATTAAACTGAACAAATATTTCAAATTGAAATAAAATGGGGTATTTAAATATGAAAAAAACTTTAAAAAATTAAAGAAAAATTCGATGAACAGGCTGAGGTATTAAATAAAATAAAACAGATTATTTGGTGCAAATATTCCAGTAAATCATTCGAATGCGAGGAGTTGGAAAAGCGTAAATCTCATGGATCACGCGTACATTAGTAAGGTGAGCTCATTGTTCAGTTTCCCATTCAACTTGTAAGAATGCGTAGGCACGCTGACTGGCAGACAATCAGACAGTGACACTGCCTCGGCAATACAAAATGGAAATTAAAATGAAGCAGGGAGTAACAAGGGAATGGGAATCTGGGATGGGACATTGTGTGGCAAAACATAAATGCGGCATTTGTTCAGATAGCTTAGGTTCGCAATGGAATACCATTTAATGCCAGCAAAAATAAACAATACAATTGAAATAATAAAAGCGCAATGATAAAGCACAACAAACACCAAGAATGCCGATGGGAAGCCCAATATACTATGCAATAGGAAGAGCTGTAAAACAGGATAGGCTCTCTGATGTTAGTTTAAAATTTTAATTTTTTTTTTCCTGGCAGATTTAATAATATAAAATAAACAACTTTATACGAATCAGAAAAGCTAATATGCTTAAATAAACAGTTTGCATTGTGGTTTTTAAGAAGGCATATATTGCCATTAAAAAATTATTCAACATTTGCCATACTGAGAAGTTTTCTTTATAAAACACGGATAAGCTAAAATCTGCATTGGTAATAAATTTGTTTCTCAAGGTTTACATCTAAACATTAATTATTTAGCTACTTTGCCTATAGCAGAATAAAATATGGAAAGTCTTTGATCACAACAATAGCTACGGGTATCTACAGTACATAAAACTTTGAAATTGCTATAAAAACAGTCTTATAATAAATTATTTAAATAATTTTAGTTCATTTACTACAGAATGAGATTAGAAAAAAATGTTCTTCAATTAAATAACTCCTGAAAATATATCTTAAAAATATGTGCATTCTAAAATCCAGGAGCTTCTAATGATGTTCAAATTAAAAGAGTCATTAATTCAAAAAAATATTCTTTCTATAATGAAGCAACTCCTTACGAAATTCAAAACGATGAAGTGATAAAATAAAAATCGGAGAGAATTTATGAATATTGGTTTTTCTGATATATATATTTAGAAAATCTATGGTTTCGTTCATACCAGTATGTATCGAAAATGTTGTAGGAGTACTTCTCCATTATTATTGACACATTTTAAATAATTTCTCTTAAATGAGTTCTGTAAATGGCATTGGCAGTCATATATCATAAAATGAGGCGGTCAAGTATAATAATGTAATGTTTAATATAGAGTTATAACATATATTTCATCGGTAACTCTATGATATAGAGTTATACATTTCGTTGATAACTCTATAATACAGAAATATCCATTATGTTTATAATTCTGTGATATAGAGTTAACTATATCGTCGTAATTCTGTGATATAAAGTTATACATTTTATCGATAACTCTATAATATAGAGGTGTCTATTTCGGCGATAAGTCCATGATATACAGTTATCTATTCCGTTGATAACCGTTGACAATACCGTTGATATAGTATTGTCCATCATTTCGACACTATAATACAGAATTATCCATTATTTCAACAACTCTATAATATGAAATTATGCATTATGTCAACAACTCTATAATATAGAGTTATCTGTTTTTTCGATTACTCTATGATACAGAGGAATCTATTTTATTGATAACTCTATATTCTATTAATGTTAATATATGCGGTTTAAGATTTTCATGTACGATTTGCCTAAAATCGTGATGTTTGGTTTCAAATACTTAAAAGCCATCATTCTACCTCTGTCTTGATACTTTTGTGACATATTTTGCCACAAATTTTAAGAAAGAAATCAATATTTCGGTACTTGAAACATAAAAGTGAAACTTTTAAAATAAACATAGCTTCTAACAATGTACTTAAATGATTATTCAGTTATTTAGGTTCATGTTATTTTACCTCTTTCATTGCACAAAAATTATAAAGTATATGAGAAGTAATACCTTTGGAAACTGTGGCAACAATTTTGTTTAGATCTCCTGTTAAAACTTTTAAAGTTGGCGTCTTCAATATAAATAATAATAAAACAACAACATCAACACAATATACACTGCAGCAACGAAAACTTGGAAAACTATGTCAGTAAATATCTGAGCATTTGCATCTGATAGTAAATACAAATGTGTGCATACAAAATCAAGTGAAAATGTCCTTTCCAACTCGCAGGTCCCAACTCCCAACTCCTAAATCCGATTCCTTATTTGTTATTTGTTGCCGTTTTGGTTGTTTAGTGGTGGTCCGTCCTCTAAGTTCTGGTTCGTTAAACACACACCGCAGCGGCGGCGTTACGCTTTCGTAGCTTGGAGTGCCTGTTTCGGTAGTGACGATGGTGCTACCGTTGCGGTTGTTTGTTTTGATTCCAAAACTTTCAATACTGCAATCCGTTATGGATGCTTCGCAGCAAATATACGTTCATGTACGTATATGAGTGAACATATAAATATTTTTATAAATACTTTAACTTGTTATTTAAGTTATCCTGGTATTTAGAGTAATTCTTTTGTCGATTTGTCTTTCACTCTCGACTTACATTGACTCAAACATATTTGCTGTTAGGTAAGAACTTGAAGAAATGTTTTCAATTGGTAAGATAGGTATAGGTATAACTAAAAAAAATACTGCATAAAAGTAAATTTATAAATAATCAAAGTCCGCATTTCGAATTTATTTTAAATATCTCAAAAATAGAATTTAGTTTACACTATAAATTTAGTATTTTCACTACAATTTGATCTATGTTTGTAAAGAAAAGCAAACTATGTATACATCACAAAAGAAATTATTATATATTATATTATGTATATATAAACATATTTTTTTTTTAATATTAGGCTCGCAATATAAGCAGTGAGGCGGCTTGTTTAGTTACGCTATCGAATATTTTTATGTGACCATAAGGACGTTCACAAAGTGATTTATCAAATCCAAACCTCTTTGCAACGATCTACTGAAAAGGTTTGTTAATTGAAGAGTATTATATCAATTGAAAATACGTTTTCACAAAAAATTTCTTTTTTTATGTTATAATTTATATATTATAACTTAATATCAACACCACTTGTGATGACAGTAGAGAAATGCAACAACAAAATTTTTATTTATTTTTAATTAAACATATTTTTGACTATCGATACAGCTGTGTCGAGTGTTGCTTAATACTCATAATCAGTAATTTGGGTATTATTTCTTATATTAAATTATTCATTAATAATCTTGCAGTCTTGGCAAGTAAGTAGCAAGGATTGCACTTGTGCCCTGTAAAATTTGAAATTCAGAGTCAGTGTTACAAAGCCGTATTTGACTTGTATGTGCTGATTTGGAGTTTCGTTAACATTTAATTAAGTTCATTAACAAATTCACTTGCTGTGTTGTATTAGAACGAAAAATATAAACCAGCTGAAGAATAGTTAAATTAATTAAACACATATGTTGAAATTTAATTCTTGGTCAGCCGAAAAATTCATTTAACTAAAAATAAATAAAAACATTGTTGTTGCAATTCACTACTGTTCGATTCACTATACCTCTATTATATTTTTATATTATAAGTTTTTCTTATATGGGTTTCTTACCACCCATAATTTTTCATAGATTGTAGAGGAGAGAATTGTTTGCAATTGCTAACAACGGATTTTTATGAATAATAGTTTCATTTTAGACAAAAATATGGCAGAGGTTAAATCCCAGGTAAATTAAACGATTTTAAATTAAATAAAGATAAAGAATTAGTGTTAATAATATTATATCATGCAGACAACTATCAATGAGCCAATTGTACTGTCCGAATTCAATAGACGTAGATTCCAAAAAGTTTTTGATGTACTGGATAAGGTTAAAATGTTAGAAAAGTTGGTTGAGGAATTGTACAATTTACCTAAAGTAAGTGAAAAATTTCTTTACATATTGTCAGCCAGTAATTATAACATTTTCGATTTCAGCGAAGTCCTGAAACCATAAGAACAGAAATAAGAAACCTTGAACAATATTGTGTAAAAATTGCAGCAGAGTTAACATTGATAGACTTATTAGTTGGTTACTACTTTACAAAACCTGCAATTGATAAAGCGATCAAAACAAATTTTTGTAGTAATTATTTCGAAAGAAAAGTAAACGAATGTTTGGAGGAACTGGATACACATAATATGACCAATTGCGGGAAACTATTTGAAGCAGATTGCTTGGAGCACTATTTAAGAAGACATGAACATTTAATTAACAAAAAATCTTCAGACTATCTAATAAAATTTGCATTGCAATTTTATTCAGTGGATATTCCACGAGGAGTGCGTAGAGCTGTCTTGCTGGCCACAAAGCTGAGCTTCATTTTAGACGAAGCAGAAACCTTCCATCGTCCTTGTAAAGATTTCATTATCTGGTACTTTAGACGGTTCAATAATGAAGATGATGACTACACAAGACAATATGTTTTGGAAATATATAGTATATTGATTGCAGTTTTACCAAAATTTACTAAGAAAATTGATAGTGAAACTATTGCTTCGACTTCGAAATCAACAAATAATGTAAGAATATTTACTTTAACGTTTCTTAAATATAAGTTACAGAGCAAAGTAAATAAAAAATTTTAAAAATAGATATTTATAATAGTGAAGGTGAAGGTATTCTCTTCATAGTTGCCAATCATCCAAATAATTGACAATACCATAGAATGTTCTTTTTACAAATATCTATTTTTAAAATGTCATACTTACTTTGTATCTTATGTAAATTATACGATTTTGATGGGTAATTATTTTGCTATTTTAAGGTTACTGGATCAGCTATCAAAGACGACAAAGAAGATGCAAAAACTCAACCAAACAAAAAAAGGAGATTCTTCTAAAATTCATATCATAATTCCAGTAAGACAATTTAGTTATTTTCGTTTTCATTTCTTCTTTTTTCTTCTTTTTTCGATTTTATTTGATCATTTTTAACTTTTTTTAAAACTTTTTTATACTAAATTGTTATTTTTTTATGGCTTTTATTTCAATTTTTACATATATTTAATTTCATAATTGTTTATAATTCAATTAAATAATTTAAATTAATTCAATTGTAATCTAACATAGATTTGTATGAATTGTTTTTTATTTTTATGTTTATATTGGGTGTATACAGATGTATATCTCACATTTACAATTTTTTTCTAAAATATTACATATACATATACATAAATTTGATATATATAATATAACTTTCAGAAGTAAAAGTAATATAATAAATTGATATATTGTAAATTTATTTCGGTTTGGTACAGTATACATCACCTAGTATTTTCATGAAGAAAAAATTATAATTCTATAACAATCCTATGGACAGTACAATTATAGTATGGATTAAATTTAATTTTTATAACTATATTAATTTAATTATAATTAATTTGTTTACAATTGTGTTAAGTATTTGATTTAAGAATTGTAAGCATCTTTTTACCTTAAAATATATTTTCATTTGTAATAAATTTGATTTTGTATTTTAAACTTTAGTATAACTTATTAATTTTTCGGGGTTTTGTAAATATGTACCACTTAAAAATTAATTTTTTTGTCTTCAAATATCGAAGAATTCTTTATTTGAAGGATTTAGTGATTTTTATACTTAGAGAACACCTAACTAAATTTTAATTAAATTTTTTTGTTGCTTTGTATATATATTGAGAGAAATACTTTCTCAACTATCTCCTTTAATTAATATTATTATATATACATATATATATATATATCTTATATGATTGACAGTCAGTCATCGATTGGTGTAAATCTAGCATTTGAATTTTTGTGTTGATTGTCTGTTGTTAGAGCTGGATCTAATGAATGAAGACACTAACAATCTGTTAACGTTACACTCAATCTATAGTACATTATTTGTTGAGTAGGTATGTAATTGTTTTTTCTGGCTGTTTCTGATTTAATGAACATAAGTGCACTGTTTATATTCTATATTTAAAATCTTTTTAAAAACTCGTTGCTTATAGAGTCCAAGATCGATGTGTTTTTATCACTTTTATTGAAAACTGGTTAGATCCTTTGTATTGAAATAATCTGTTGTTTTTATACCATGCTGAATAATCTTTTAATTAACCACGACAGTACTTTGTAGTCTCGTAAACGGTGGAGGAGTCCAGGAGTCGTCTGTTGTGATCGAACCGTGAAAACATATATGAAGAGTAGTGCTGCTTATTGTGTTTGATGTCAGTTCATTGTGGTGGTATTGTGATTGTGGTGATTTATACACTGTGAAGATTCCTTTCGATAACATTTTTAAGTGGTAATATATAGTGACACTATATACACATATATATGTTTATATAAATATATATATATATATTATTACATATATTTATATTGATTGTTATATCTGAAATAATTAGAAGATCTTCTGGAGATAGTTGAGAAAGTATTATAATATGCTTAATACAATATGTATATAAATATAAATAATATAATATATATGTTAATATATATAATATACTTTATGTATAATACAATGTATGAATAATTATTTATATATTTATTTTTTATATAAAGTACAAAGAAACAATCTATTTAAAATAGACTATACCAACTTTGGTAAGGTTTTTAAAGTTTACTGACGTCTATTTTTTATTTGTAACTAACTAAGTAACGTTACCTTTAAGTATACCCCAGAATTTTTTTAAAAAAAGTTATATTAAGGTACTTAAAAGATATTTTGTGCTAAGATATTTCATAAAGATACTACATAATGATACTTAATAAAGATAGTTTACAAAAAATAAATATCTATAATAAATTTATGCAATGTTTTATAATTTGTGTTAGTAGTATAAACAAATATAAGTTATTGTCATTTGATCTAATGTATGAAGTATATATATATGTCTTGATATAATATCATATGTGATACTATACCACCGAATCTAGCATTTTATAGGCAAACAAGCACGGAGAGGAATCTACAGGTTGTAACAGCTTCAATACTACAACCAACAACAACAACTATTAACTTGTGATGCAGCTCCAGATGGCATAGACATTGAAAAAGCTAAATTTTGATTTAATTTATTTTTTATATTATACTTATAAATTTATCAATCTAAAGCATTAACTGAAAATCGCGTTTCACAATCTAAAAGAGAGAGAATCTCAGAGAGCTTGCTTATTTATTTTTCTATCTCGTCCATGAGTATGAGGATGAGGATGAATAAGATAATGATGATAAACACAAAAAAAAAACATTGATAACCGAGTGAAATGTTTCAACATTTTTGCTCCTTTTATTAAATATACTTGGTAGAATGCCACATGCTAACAACTTTATTCCCGATTTCAGTTTCAACTTACACCGAAAGATCCAAAGCAAAGCACTTTCTTGCTAATGATACGTGAAATCTGCATTATTGCTCACCGTTGCAATTGCACCGGAATCCTTTGCATAAGAATTTATGACTGGCTGAGCGACAAGCCAGACGCCGTGGCGTTTAGGTATTGTCAGGCCAAAAGAAAACACCACAACGCGAGCTATCATCTCGTTCAAACCTGCTGCAGACGAACGGAGTCTGCTACAAAAAGTCGCAATTTTATTTTAATAAGAAAATTACTATCTGAGCATGATTAAAGTAATTTCAGGTTTTGTTCCGTTTCGCATAAAAGACACAAAAAGACGGCAGCAAGCGTTGCACCATGTATCTATGCTGCTCCTGTCTTTACTTACACATAAAGACAGGATCTCTACAGATGAACACTCACACTTCCTTCCAAAGAGCCACCAAATTTACACTGAAAGCGGGGTTTCGCCAATTAAATTTATTAAAGGAGAAAGGATAAAAGAGCTTCATATTGCGAAATGTTGCCCGCTTAACTTTAATTATAAGCTGTAGTTGTAAAAATTTAATGCACAAAATGTTAAGAATATATATTCCTTTCTTGAGAAAGGAATCAAATTAAGGAGTGCATTGAATAAGTGCATTGAATACAAAACCATATCAATTATTTGAACAATTTTAATGGATACTTTTAAGCTTAAAGGAATTGTGTTATGTATTATATTATAGTTAAGGTACTTGTCTTTTGTAAGAAAGTAAATATATAATTTCATATTATATTCATATATATAACATATTATTAATAATTTCTTTATTTTCACTAATAGTTGTCTTCTGCTACTTTTAAGTTGAATTTCCATTATTTATATTTGTGCATTACAATAGGAAAACTACTTAGTAGTTCATAAGTACTACCATGTATTGCTATTTCAAAATGTTATTGTTGTTAAAAGAAATCCTCAATGTATACATCACAACACCACCACAATGAACTGACATCAAACACAATAAGCAGCACTGCTCTTCATATATGTTTTCACGGTTCGATCACAACAGACGACTCCTGGACTCCTCCACCGTTTACGAGACTACAAAGTACTGTCGTGGTTAGTTAAAACATTATTCAGCATGGTATAAAAACAACAGATTATTTCAATACAAAGGATCTAACCAGTTTTCAATAAAAGTGATAAAAACACATCGATCTTGGACTCTATAAGCAACGAGTTTTTAAAAAGATTTTAAATATAGAATATAAACAGTGCACTTATGTTCATTAAATCAGAAACAGCCAGAAAAAACAATTACATACCTACTCAACAAATAATGTACTATAGATTGAGTGTAACGTTAACAGATTGTTAGTGCCTTCATTCATTAGATCCAGCTCTAACAACAGACAATCAACACAAAAATTCAAATGCTAACATTTCGACATTAACTTTCTGAGTTATGATTTACATAAATCGATGACTGACTCTCAATCACATCAGACTTGATATTTATAGTACTATATACTACATTGGATGACATTTTTTGTCGTGTTTTAAATAAAAATTAGAAACCATCATCCACTGGTAAGTACTTAAAATAAAAAAGTTAGTTAATTCAAACTTTTTGTAAATCTAGATAAAGGCAGCTGGTTAAGTTCATCACCGATTTTGATTCGTCCAATAGTAGGAAACTCGCAACATTGCTTTATATAATATTCATTTTGGTACTATAAAAAGCCTGAAACTTTTAAACAATTTGGGATATAATCTATTTGCATGTTAAAAATGTAAACGTTAAGTCAAGCCGTTGAGTTGGAAGATCGTATAGCTGAGAGAATATAAACTCCATAATTCGTTGTCTGCTACAATTGTGGTAGTATTGCACCCAACTGAAAGTTTATAAATTTATGTTCACATTTTCTGAGGTTAAAAACTCTACATATAATGTTCGACAGCGGTATGGATACCATATTTGGAACCATGTCAAGTAAAAATAGCAAGAAAAAGCCATACAAAAAAAAACATGATGTAAGTAATTTAAAATAAATAATATAGTGCCATGATCCAAAATAGATTACAAGTCGGTTGACTTGTAAGAAAGAGAAAGAACATCTTATATTTATGACTCCAACAATTGGATTAAGTGATAGATTATTTGCGTTCGATTAGTTGTGGTTGGGTCTTTATTGAGCATATAAAGGGAGTTGACAATTCTCCGTTAAACATTTCTTTGTTTATAGATAAAAAGAGTTGAGAAATTAAAAACCCTCAATAAAAATATTTTAAAAATATTTTATTTGTAGCAACACATATATCTTTTTTATTTATTAATAATGATAGTTTAGTTTATAAAACTAATACTAACATGTACTAACATATAGCTCTGGCTACTGAGGCCTTTAGTTAGTAACACATATATATTATGTGCCAAGAGATAAAGTCAGTTATATTATATATCATATGTTAGAGGATCATATCACAATAGCGAATTTCAAATTTTCAGTACTAGTTTGGTAGTTATTTTTGGTAGTAAACTTTGACATGTGCTTGTAGGCAAATTATCATCTAAAGTGCATCGATATCCATTTTATCTACAAAAATAAAACTTTTCAACAAAACTATTTCCCAAGATGCAATACTAAACTTCTAAATTAAATATTTGTTTATCTACTATATTCTTTCCTTCAATTAAATAAGATATAAGATATTCAAATAAATAAATACTATAAGAATTGAGGATTTAAAACGATAGTAATGTTATTCAAAAATATAGAACAAAATATGGGTGTAGTATTACGAATTCGACTAGTAGCATTGAAATACTTTTTATATCACACTTTTTTTAAAATTTTTAAAAAAATTACGAAATTAAAAATGTTTTAAAAAAAAAAATTTAAGTAAAAACAACAATGTGGTATTAAAGTTTGGCATGATTTGAAGAAAACCCGTTCACAATGAATAATTTAATTCAGACACTTATCAAAATTTCAGAGACTCATCCACAATTACAAAATAAAACAGAAAAAGTATTTCAGGGACATGCAACACCAAGTACAGGACTGACTTTGGAGGAATTCCGTTGTAAATAAAAATTTCATTTTATAGTTTACATAAATATTATATATATTATATATCATAGCGAAATACCAAAAAATGCATAACGAAGAGTTCCCAATTTCGCAGGATCAAAACATCACAATTGAATTCTTGCTCACCTTGCGTTTAATGTCGACTCATCGTAGAAGAGGTAGAAGTCAAGTATTTTATTTATTGGAACCAAAAACTGAAATAATATCCTTTATTCGCGATACTGGGTTTCTGCAATAACACGTCATGCTATATTTGACGTTATATATTTTTATATATCAAGCTTAAAATCTCTTACTGTAGTTCAATTCTAAAGTTGATCAATTTTTATAAAATTTATATACAGAGATAAAAATTATGTCACTCGGTGGAAAACAACAGCATCTTATTTAGAAATCGCTTCCTATTACTATTAATAAACAGTTATTTCATAAAAACCACATTAACTATTTGTGTACTAAGTATTTTCTATTTTGAACAGATATCTTACTAATACTAGCGCTATATATTGGACAAGTGGATCCAGCGCTATATATGTAAGACCAATAACTTATCAGCTTACTATCAAAAAGGCAATAGAGTCTAGTACTCATCATAGTACTCAATGAAAATATTGTTTGTCTAATTTTAGATACTGACAGGTGTTTGACATCTACATAATATAAATAATGTAACCAGAGAGCACCGAGACTAATATGCTTGACTGTTATTTCTTTTTTACTTATAAGTTGGATTTACAAGTGAATTTGTGTATTAGACTTCACGTTTATGGCCAGTGGAGTTGTTATGCTATCCCATGATTCATATTACAAGATGTTCGTATTCCTGATTACATAGGTATTCTCATATTAATAACCTACCTACAAATAGACCATCTGTTAAGTGTAAGATGTGTTGGTTATCAGCAATTCAATATCTTTTTTTAAACATTTAAATCAAACATTTAAATGTATCTGGATACAATAAGCAATGTAGTCAAAAAGATAGTTCTACAAAGAATGCAGTATTACAGGCAGTTAGTGTTTTAGGTCCTATAACTTCAATAGTCAAAGATTTTAGTGTGAATAAAATTAATACGTGTAATGTAGCAGAAAATCGTGGTGTGTAATATTCTTTACTGTTATTTATTTTAAAGTCATTGTTTACTTGTAAGAGTTAATATCTATGTCCGTATGCTTTTCACATACAGACTTTCCCATGTACCTGAATTTTGAGAAATCTCTGAGACTTTTGATATCACTTTTGTTGTCACTTTTGATAAATTTGGTTTTCCTATGTACAGAGGGTTTCTGTGATATGTGTATTTCTATCTTAAAAACTATTTGTATCGTTTTAATTAATCAATTTACTTAGAAAAAATTGTGAATCTTCTAATGTCTGTTTTGATAGATTTAGAACTTTGTGAGTCTTACGATATCAGTTTCTGATAGTTCTATAATTTCATAGTTGGTGTGGGAATGCTTTTCACTTCTCAATACTCTAGCATCGAGGAACTATGTGATTCTTATGTGGTTACCGGGATATGAGGACAATGAAATAACAGACTCGCTAGCAAAGAAGGGTGCATGTATTCCATTCATTGGTCCAGAGTCATTGTGTGCGATAACAAATGGCTTCACATATAACATATTATGTGAACGGAAGAAACAAAATCTAATTGAACACTGGGGAGTCGAAACAGGCATGCGGCAGTGAAGATGATTCACTGATCCTGAACACATTAAAGTTGACGCTATCTTAAAGCTTATCTGAAACAATATTAAACTCTACACAGAACTTCTTACAAGACACTGCAGAATCAATTACTACATGAAGAATATAGGTGTAATAGAAAATAATTTCTGTCGACTCTGCCATGAAGGAAAGAGAAGGAAACATTAGAACATGTTATATCCAACTGCCCAGCGGCTGCAAGACGTAGATTTGACTACATTGGAAACGGGATCTTAGTCCCAAAGCAAATAGGTAAAATTAAGCCCACAGCATTTACGATATTTATAAATAGTCTAGAATTGTTTTAGTTGGGTTTTTAGGTGCACAATAGTTCTTTTAGGTCGCGGGATACATTTATGGCCTATTATTTAATAATAAAAGAGTTCTATAGATTTTTTGATGAAAGTTTCCTTCATGAATTTAAACACTATTCTTTGCTGGCATTGAACATTCTTTGCTGGTAACATTTAATTTCTATTTATTTTATTTACGTTCTTATACGCATATTAAACATAAAAGTGTGGAAAATAAATGTTTGATTTTTCAATTAATTTTAAGTCTTCCACACCCACTTTGATTGCCTTGCTCTACTATTCACGCCTGCAGTTGTCTATAAGTATGATGCTGTGTGCCACAATCGAAAACATTTGGCATTTCAGTGAATTTTGTGTGAAAACAATTTTCCGGGATTATCATTGAAATCCAAAAGAAAAACTTAAGCGGAAAGTTTACCAAAAAGTATGTGAAACGTTCCTGTGATGCTTGGATTGTGGGATAGTATTGTGTACCTCACACGTACGATTCATCGGTATGACAATCAGTTGTGCATTAGACTAAATTTAATTGCAGATGAAATTTTTGGTAAAGGGCCAAAATCTTAATGCCCTGTCCGCAGTCAAGCAGGAAGTTCAAATGTTCAAAACTGACGACAGTGAAAAGGACAACGACAATGAAATGAACAGTAACGCGCAATGTGGACGTAAACAGGGCAGAAGACTCGAAGACACCGAAGATAAGGTTGACTGTTGAGACGATAAATGTTGAAAAGTACAAGAAGTACTCTTGTAAAATGTCTAACGCACCTGAATCGATGTCACATAATGGAACATACCCATAAACCTTACTTGGGCACTAACAACAATTGCACTAGTAGCCAAAGTGATTGCGCTTGTGTAGAGAAGTGCAAGATCGGATTTAGTGTATTTTAATAGCTTCAGTGACACATAACCATTGTTACTGCATTGGCGGGGTGACGTTTTAAGGTGCACTAAATAAGCAGTAAAATAGCAGTTGCTTGCTTTAGTTGATTTCTGTAGTTGTAAACCGATACGCTATCGCACACACATCTGCCTTCATGTTGTTCTGGAGCTTTTCTGGCAGTGCATCCAATCGTAACTCTCGCCGCACCGGCAGCAATTGTTGGCAATGTTTGAATGATGTACGTTCAAGTTATTTTGGAGTGCAGCTGAAGTTTGGAATTCAATTTAAATTTGAATTGAAAATCAAATTTGTATACAAAGAAATGGAGTGCGAAAATATTCCACACAAAATAATTCTGTCCTTCTGTGGCATTTCTGTGAGTTTCCCTTTTGTGGCATCGAGGAATGCGCTACGATGTGTCGAATGTTGCAATTTAATAGAGCATATATATTTTTAAATACCAAGTTATTTTAGTCCCTACTCGAAATTTCTAAATAAATTCTGTTCTGTTTGTTTCTTTTTTTTTTTTTTATTTTTATTGAAAGAGAATCTGCTACTCAGACAATTTGTATTTAAGTTCACTTAAATCTAGTTTAGACTTTAAGTCAATTCATACTTAATAAATGCATTAGCACCTAGAATGTAAAATGAAAAGAATAAAGTATAGATGTGGTCTTACTTAGCATACTTGAAATTTTCCAGATTCAAATTTATTCTTTTTGGCTATATATAATAAAAAAATAAGAAATTTTCCAGATTCAAATTTATTCTTTTTGGCTATAAATAATAAAAAAAATAACCAAAATTTTAATTAAAATTTATGGAATGGAAATCATGTATCTCAAAACATTAATTAATCGCTTTTATATGGAATATTTGAGCATTTTTCTATAGTTTTTTGCTACATTCATGGACAAAACTTTTCTTTATCAAAAACCTATTTTAATCAGGTAATATTTGGTCATTATTGTGTATGACTCAGTGTAAAACTTCTATAGTCTATCTACGAAAAACTTGCCAAAGTAGTTTTCAGCGGCTTTGACCCAAATTGATCAACTAATTTTTTACTATCAAGAGAGTTTTGTTGACTGTTAATTACGCCCGGAACATAACTATACACAACGAATCATCTATATATATATCTATGCGTGTTTCTGGATAGCGTTTGATTTTAATGAGATTATGCTACATGTAGGTCTATTGTTATAGATATCAATAAGGTATTAAGTATTCGATATCAAAGAGTGTTCTCCTGGATCATGTGATTTATGAATACTAAAAATGCACTCTTGGGTACTATTTATGAAATGTTAATTGATTCACATATAATTCTGCATTTCTATAATAATATAGCATAAAATAATCGATAGCGTTATGAGGATTTGAGAAACTTTCCATAATGGTTATATATCAAAGAAATGTCTACTGAATAAGAAAATTTTTAACTTATTTCCTTAAATTGTGTTTTCATTTATTTCAATTAGGAATAATTCCACGTCTTCTCCAATTCTGTTATTTATGTGTTGTAGAACTTTTTTAAATACATCTTATCTTAATTAGACGCAAATGTCCAGTATAAATTTTGAATTAAGTGAGGTTACTACCAATTGCAAAAACGCTTCATCCCATAGATGTTCCAGAAATATTTACCATAATTTTATTTAAATGCCTGCGTTTGAACGCTTGTCCAAAAATTGTTTGGCAAATGTGCTAAAGTTAAACAAAGGAAGACGAAAAGGTAGCCAATTTCTAGTTTAACTTAACTAATTAAGTAAAATGCTCTGAATTAAATTAACGATAATATAGTTATGAGAAAATGTTAACAAAAAGGACTGCAAATATTTAATACAAAATTGGTGTAAAAAAGTTAAAACATTAAAACTGTCACCAACTTTCAATTTATTTTTTTATATTTCCTTTTTTGTCTACTGTAGACACATAATTACTAAAGTTAGTACGTTAAGATAATGTCCAGAACATTAAGCATAATTTCCGCTTGCTTACCTTGTCGTTGAATAAAAAATGGCCATAAAAATGAACTACTCAGAACGAGAATCCTTAAAAAGAATACAAACTAAGTAAGGTACAATGAAGAAAGTTTCAGAATAATAGGTGAAAAAAAGCCTTTAAACAAACATTAAGGACAAAGGGTGCAAAATTAGCTTAACTGAAGCAATAAAAAAGGATTTTTTCCTGTTTTCATTTTGACTTGGACATTTCAAGTGTTTCCAGCAGAATGTGTCAGTTTTTATCCAACTTCACCTACTTTTTTTTTCTCTTTTTCCTCTTCCCGCATTTCTTTTATTCAGCAAAAACTTAACAATTTTGCTTTCTCTCTTTGGACTTGTCATGATGAAAAACACGGTAGAGAGAAACGCGAAGACTTTAAGATGTGCCGGATAATTTTTATTGACTACCAACTGGTACTGCTCTGCGTTTAGTAGTCTACAGGGTATCTCTAGGATACGCCATCTTTAGTGATATGAAACTAGCATAAGCTCAAATTAATAATTTAAAATAGT